AATCCAAGATGAAGTCATGGATTGATGGTAAGGCTTTCAGAATGACACACAAGTCGAAATCACACCTTTTAAGTTCAGATCTCAGCATATTTGTCTCTGGGAAGCTATTCCTTCCCTGACTGACTCAGGGAAGTGATAAACATTCAGAAAAAGGCAGCTAGCTATACATTGTGCTCTAGGACTACCCAATTCAGCAGCCATTTAAGCGTGCTCCAGATATTCCAGCACCAGATAAGATGTTACAGAAGGGTTGTCTCTGTGCCTGATAAGGAACATTTGCTTACCTGCCTGGCTTCAGGCAGGAGTAAAGCCCTCCTTTTGCTTATTCATGAGTAATATAATTAAGTAGAAACAGAACATGCAGAAACAGAGTACTCTGAGACCGCTTCCAGCCCCCAAGAAATCTAAATATTTGGGGTTGAGGATATGCACGGAGATGCACAGTTGGTAATCGCACGCAAATGAACCGTTGCAGCAGAGCCAGCTGCTCCGGCTGCGCCGAGCAAGGGCACGCCTGCGGCACTGGGGGATTTGCTGCTGCTCCTCCCGTTCTTTTGCTGGCTCTAACTCGCATCTCTCGTAGGCAAATGAGAGGGAAGAAATGACAAAGGGATTTGAATCTCCGTTCTGATGACTGCAATATTATGTGTAGGTTTCCTGGTGGAGAAAACGCTGCAATGCATCTTATGTATTTTTAGCGTAACGGGACCATTGAGCAGGGATGAACCATTCTGGAGCACTAACACTGCGTGAAAAGGCGTCATTATATCTGGCAAGTGCTGCTATCTGCCAACAGCAACCTGTTCTTTGACTTCAGTTATTTATTTCTGTAAAAGGAGGGGCACATTTCCAAGTGATACATTTTTTAAGTGTTATTCTGAGGACTGGGACGTATTTCAGGGGACACCAGGAATATTGCCTGGTTTGCCTGTCTCTCCAGTACGTGCTGCCCGCACCCCATCCTCTTTCCTACTGAAGCTTTTTTGGCGTGCCTGATGCCCTGCGTTTGTAGGCCGGGCAGCAACAGAAACATGGGTTCCCTGAAGTACCTCACTTACAACCGGGATAAGGAAATGACCCAATCTGTGGTGTCTTGCAGTCGCATTAAAATGAGATCAGTGTTCACGTAAAAGAAGCCTCTTCCATGGCCACACTTAACTCTGCTGAATTTTGTCAGTGCTGCCACATCCTGCCTCTTCTCTTCCTCGTGGTTCAGGCTCAGGCTTTTGTTGTTCCCAGTCCTTTCATTCAATTAATTCCTCTTCTTTATGGTGGGTCTGAAATGTCATCTTCTGCACTGGCTCAACACATCTATTTGTGTTTAACCTGCCTTCTGCCTGAGCTCTGAGCCCATTTTAAAAGCCTCAGCAGTCTGGGACTTTCTACAAGGTTTTCCATTTCCTTTTCTTATTTACTGTAGAAAATTGCTGATGGAAGAAAAAAAAAAGAAAGAAAAGAAGAAAAAAAAAGTAGTTCCCTTTTGTTCATGGAAAATGCATCAGAAACTGAATACAGCTTGAAGGAATGGCAGGAGTCCATTTGGCTAAAACAGGAGGGCAGAAACAAAAAGGGGGAGATCAGAATGAGAACACCTAGGTGATGGTCCCAAGATATTCGCATAACAGACTGAATTTCAGAGGTACCCAAACCACGGTGCTAGTGTTTACCTTGGTGCATGTGGGCTGAAAAAGAGGGATAGAGAAACAGGTGAGGGAATAAGCAGGGATCACGCAGAATGTTAACTAACATCAGCTTATCATCCAGAAACCCTCACCTCAGGGTAAGCCATGTTCAAAACTGCCTTTCTGTTCTCCCTGTCCTCACTCCCTGGTCTCTCTGCAGCCACCCAGCAGCTTTCTGGCTTTGCCCACTGGTCTGTCAGACCCGCTTGCAGAGCAAAGCCACCCTGCCTTGCTGTGCCAGGGGTCCCCATCCCTCCCGCTGCATTTGCCCCTTCCCAGCGGCACACGGAGCTCGCTGGAGCACAGCACAGAAGTGTCCGGGGCTCCTTCGCTGGCTCCCGTTAGGGCTGCGAAGGAAGGTTTGTCTTTCCCCATGCTGTGTGCATCAGAAGTGATTCTAATCTTTTAATAGCCATAGGAGGCATTATCCTTGCACACATTTATTCCTGTGTCTCCGTTCCAGAAAATTTAATTGGCAACGCAGCCCAACAGCCAGTCTCTTGGTGTGAAGATAGAGGCAGGAGAAGGAACATCTCTACTAGTCGGGGTTTTTCCAGTGCTTTCACTGCAGGGTCAGAAGGAGAGCTTTTCTGAATATCGTTAGATTACCTATCAGTTTACAGGCACACAGCAAAATTAATCTGTTGCTGAGGGTCAGTGCTTGGTTTCCTCTGGTGTCATCTTTCCTCCCTCGCAGACCGGGGTTGTTCTGAAACACTTGCCCTGGTGCCTCCTTACAGAGCTCCAGCACCTTCAAGATGAAAAGGGTCCGGCTGGGAGTGGGCTCTGGGAGTGGGTTTCTGTTGTGCTCAGGGTGCCTCAGTCACCTTGGTGAGTCACTCATGACACTGCTCTTCCCTTGCCGTGCAGCAGGAGCCAGCGAGGGAGCACCGCGCTGGGCGAGAGGCAGCGGCTGTGCCTCCCGGGAGCACGGGGCAGGAGGTGAGGGGACCTGGGGGGGCTCGGGGTCCACAGCCCCTTCCCTGTCCTGAGGCTGAATTCCACCAGAACGCCGTGGGTGAAGGAAGGCTTCAGGAGCAGGTGAAATACAGCAGCTTGCTTTCAAGCGTTGTAAATTTTCAGGTGGGCAGAACCAAACGGATTGCCCTTTACCCAGTAATGCAATCTGTTACAGAAGAGTAGCGTGTATAAAGAGCTTTAACCTGGACAGCCTCTGAGTGCGGCTGCTCTGACCAGTGACAAAGCAGTGTCTCATGGGGTACAGAGGGAGCAATGAATTCTATATTGACACTAAACAAAATTTAGTATCTACTGCATTTTCTTGCAAGACAATATGCTGAGCAATTGTGAATAATTCAGGTAACCAAAGGCACTTGTAGATACAGGCATACGATGTGCTTCAAATTAGCCTGCCTTCCAGAGGTCCCTTTGTTAAGCTCAGTACCTGCTGAACCCTTCTCTTTCTCTTGGTGAGGATGCGGTGCCCGTCTGTGCAGCTTTACCCCCTTCAGCCCAGGATTAGATTTCATTTGCTTTTACCTCAGAGTGCCAATTAAAAAAAAAAGCCCCCGCAATTCTACAGAAGAGCGTGAAAGTAAACATGGGAGACTTGTCACGAACTGCTTCCTTTCTGTGTCACCACGCACACCAGGCATGGCTGCTCCTGCTAGTTGCTGGTAATTGGAACAGGTGCAGGGATTAATATTTATAGGTTCTCCCTAAAGCACTATTTGATCTGCTCGTGTGAATGCTGCACGTGGGGCACTTTCTGTGACCTGGGTCTCAGGTGCCCTCCGTTGCCCCATGCTTGGTGCACACATTAAGTGCATTGCCTGTAGAATTTCATAGTATTTATAACCTGTTTTCTGTATCTCAGGATGTCTGAAGGCTGACGTCAATGCCCCTTTTCTCCCCAGAGGTGGCCAGGGAGCACCATTCTCTAAGGAGGAGCCTCTGCTCAAACCAGCTGAGCACTAATAGTCCAACAAGCAGCTCTGACCGGCTGGCTGCCCAGAGGATGCCCTGCACCCCACGGGGTGGGAACAGCCCTGTCCACACATCCCCCCACTTACTTCCACCCTTCCTGGGTTTTCACCAGGGACATCCGTGGAGGGAGTTTTGGATCAAGGTGTCTGGTGGCAACACCCTGCACCCGGCATGTCTGCCCTCGCTCAGCCAGCAGCTCCCAGCTTCATCTCGGTATTCTGCAGGCGTAGCAGCCGGCGAGGACTCGCCAGTTCTTTCCAGCGTGTCATTACTGGGCTATTAGCTGCCTGGGAACTGTGTAATTGAGACAGAGCGGATTATGCGTAGACACGAGCCGTGGCCTCGTGTCCTCACCTTCCCCCGGTCCTGCTGGCACGTGTCCCCGGCCCCGGGGCCGCCTCATCCCGAGACATCGCTCGTCCCCACCGCTGTGCCGTGCAGCGTTACTTCTGCGGCTGGGTTGGGTGAGCATAAAGACAGGAGAATAACGGCAGGTGAGCCTTGCAACATGTAATGACTTCTCACATGAATTCATACCAAATTTTGTGAGGAATGATGGATAACTTTATGAATAGGTAGCAATAAACCATACACTCATTTTGCAGGAGCAGGGCCAGGTGAGCTTTAATTCCACAACTCTTTCACTGAAATGTCAATGATCCGGGGGGTTTATTGCTTTTTTCCGTTGGCAGACTCTGCAAGCAAAAGGAAGCACTGTGATGTCTCGCCTGCCCTCTCCAGACGCTTCCCAGCCAAACGTGCCATGTACCAGGTGATGTGCAGCAGAGCCACGCGGTCTGACCAGGGTGTTTGGTGCTGGAGCCGCAGATGATGCTGCGTAATGTAAACGCCTTCACTTTGTTAACGGCTGCAATAAACATACAGAGTAACAGAGTAAAGCACTGGGGACAGATGGGCAGGAATATTGAGCACCCATTGTAGGGGCTTAAAGTGGAGCACAGACGCATGGCACATCTTTGGGTACTGTTTGGCTGCGTGCCCCGTGGGTGCGTGTCCTGCAGCCATGTGCCAGCCCTGACACCCTGGGGCTGGGGCAGAGCACACAGTGGGCACGAGGCTCAGTTTGCTGGGTTGCTGGAGTGCTTTATGTCAAGGCCAGTGCCTGGAGGTCATTTTTCAGTTTGTAGAACTTAATTCAATTAATGGAAAAGCTGGGAAAGTGGAAACATTCTTTTTGTGATGCTTCTTCAAATGAATTAATTTTGGCAATAGATAGCTTTAATACTGTCGTTTATTTTTCTCAATTTGCAGGAAGACTCAGAGGGATGCCCGTATAGCAGACAGACATCTAGACACAATAGTTTAAAATAATGCCTTTTTTTTTTTTTTTTTTTTAAATAAAAGAATGATCTTGAATCTACCACCCAGTTTGCTGTGTGATACATGAAAACTGGGGTTCCAGGAGGAGTATGTTTGAATGGAATCAGGTTAGAGATGAGTCTGAAAAGAAGAGTTGCCTGGGAACGAAAGCTGTTGCTGGAAAATGTTTATGAGGACGTGTTAACGCATTGAATAGGTACAACTGGAAAAGCTGAAATAAAGAAAATGAGTATTGTTATTGTTCCATCATCCAGTTTAACTTCTTGTCCCCAGATTTCTTGTAAAACCTGGATAATATTAAAGAATTCACTAAAACAGCAGGAAGGAGAATTGCTCACTGATAATGAGCACTCCCATGTTACACTTCCTGGGCAAGGCACACACCTGGACAAAGGCAACCACCTTCATGGAAATGGTCAGAGAAGTGAATAAAGGTAAGACTCTAGCTAAACTGGCACTAAATCTTATTTCGACACCCATAAATGAAGGTAAATTGAACCAAAGTCCCTTTGATTCTGAAACCATTTGAGAGATTTAATGACTAAGCTAATTGTTTTTCCTAACTGATAATGCATAATTCATTGTGAATTTTAATTCTGCAGTGTTCGGGTGGGTTTTGGTGCAACATTTTCCTTTACTTTGTATGGAGGTAATCGTCTCTTGGATGCAGGGAGGTAGAGAGCCAGAGGGAAATCAGCCTGCTGGAGGATTTGCAGCAGACCTGGAGCCAGAAGGCTTTTCAAACCTGTACTGGTGCAATACTTCTCTGTTGCCCCGAGCTGTGGGGAATATTGAAGGCAGCTGGAAGGGTTTCACGCTGCCCGTGGTGACTGCAGAGCTGGGATGGCTCGCGTCCATCTGAGCACAGCCCGTGGTGCTGGGGAGAGGACGCCTGAGCTGGGTGCACCCCGGGGCCCTGACATGCCGTGTGAGCCCCTGTGAGCCCCGGCACGGCACGCCAGCACTGCTCGCATCCTGCTGGAGGAGCCACCAAGAAGGGAGCTGCTGCTGCTGAGCGGCCTCTGCTTAGCACCAGGACAAGGCAAGGGCTCACACTGCTGAACTCACTCCGTTATGCTCAGATCATTGTATCTGGGAAATGCTAGCTCTCTGTCCACCAGGTTTTCTCTTGGAGCATTAATTGCTTATCAGCGAGGAGCATTGTGCTTAAGGGAGCATGAATTTTGTTTCCACTCGGTTTGCTCTTCTAGGCTTTTACCTGGTTCTGGTATGTGAGGCAGTGTGTGCTGGTACTGGCTCAGATCAAATGTGCAAGAACAGCCTGGGACACAAGCGCACTTTTCTTTTCTCCCACAGATGCCTACTGGCAGCGACAGTAAGAAAGATTTCTCCCTGAATAAAACAAAAGTGGAGGTGAGGACATTAACTGAGCAAGAAACCGAGCTAAGCGGATCTCCACAAGCTTCACATCCGAAGCAGAGGCCAGCAGTGCTGCTGCACTATGTGGGCAGGAAGGAGACAGGGAGACGTTTCCCGGCATGGAGAGAACAATTCCAGTCCTTTCTCAGGCAATTTTTTAAGTATTAGCAACCATGGTAACTGAATAGAAATGTAACCCGTGTGCTGTGCATTCAGCTTGACACAATTATCTCTGCAGAACAGTCACGTTAAAAATAAACATGGCCTGCACCAGATTCCTCAGCCACCTCGCTCCATGCCATGTGGGAGACCTGCCCGAAGCTGGGCTCAGGCTGGGCGAGTGCAGTGGACGCTGAGGCCCGTGCAGTCGGCCTCTTGCTCTTTGAATGGCATCAGGGGCAGCGGGGGGCTCTGTGGGTGCCCCTCGCCCAGGAGTGTTGGGGTGGCAGCAGGGGCAGCGCACGGCTGGGGAGGGACCCCAGGGACCTGATTCCCCATTCTGCGGTGGGCGATGCGGGCAGCGGGTGGCTGCAGGTGCCCGGGGAGGTGCGGAGCTCCTGGGGGGCTGCCCCTGGGGGGCTTCGTGGCACTGCAGCCTTGGTCCAAGCTGATCTCCTCAGTACTGGCACCGTAGCCCGAGCTCTGTGCTCCAGCGCTGGAGCAGGGGTCCCTGCTGGTAGCTTCTGTGCAGGCAGAAACACTGCCACGGCCTTTCTCTTAAGGGCTGTTACTGGTTTTATTTCATTCTTACGTCATTTAGAGAAATCCTTAGTGTTCTCTGGGTTTACTGGTACGTCAGCACATTTGCCTACTAAGCACAGCTATTTTTCCACTCCAGACAGCTTTCGAAGAAGTTAGCTGGTGTTTTAGCAGTACTTACTGCATCTAATATGGCACACGTGCAGCCATGCAAGAAGAGCTAGAATCAATGTTTGCTCTCATAACCATGGGCCTAGATCAGTAATCATTCAGATTTGATTGATAACAGTGCATCATCCATTTACAGTAGAGCAAACCTTGGATAGCAAATCTCTTGCTTTTAGCAATCCTACATAAAATCAGTCGAGGGTGCACTTAGCCCAAATACAGATTGCAAGCTGTGACTTAATATAATTGCTAGAAATAAGTTTAGGAAGAAAAAGGGATATGGGTCTTTCATTTTGTCAACAAACATACTGTGATTTGTTGACAAAATTCGGAATAGTTTGGACCTGACATCTCTGCCTCACATCAGTATAGTGTCCACAAGACAGAGCAGAATGTGAGGAAAAAATGTTATCTTGTTTGAAATCAGCCGTTCTTCGTTGGTCTGTGCATTTCAAACTGCATTCACACTCAGTGGTGGGCATGCAATACAAGCCTGACATGCTTTTCTCATTTGTAAACTTGTGATGAATTCTTCCCCCAGCTTCAGCTGATGAGTAGGATTGAAAAGAGACGTGTCAAATACTCCTCCGGTTTTGCTGGTGAGCAGATTGCCCAGCACCTTGGGCTCCTGTGTTTGCTTAGGAATAGGTCACTGATAAATCCACAGAGGCAAATATTTCAGAACACAGACTAATGCAGCCTAAATCACTGCTAAGCTGTGTGGTCTTATTTCTAAGCCTGTGGAAGAGGTTCCCTGCACTTGCACCAGCACGGATGAGGGCGTGCAGACTCACTGCGGAGGGGTGGAGGGAAGCATACCTTGTGCACCACATGGCTCTGGATCAGAGCAGCAGCTAAATCATCAACAAAAAGCATGTCGAAGTGGAGAAGAGAGTTTGAGCATAAAGAAGTATGAAAATGATTTGATTTTTTTTTTTTTTAAATAGTAAATGCTGTGGAAATCAAGGGAAAGGCATAGATTGCAAGCTCTTAACCGCTAAAGATTTTTGCAAGAGTCATTTCCGCAAATGTCTTACATTCCATATATAGATCTTCAGTCTATGCTGTTAATGGACTGACAAATGTACAATAACCCCAGATGACTGTTGCTTCATTGCTTGGCTATACAGATAAGAGGAATGCTTCCTTTTGATTGAGATCTTAAATCAATTGTTCCCTTACCAAATGTCTGGTGGTTATTATCCAAGGAGAAGATAAAGTTCAGATGGTAAATTGTTAATATTGTAAGAAAAATGTCTGTTGTGTCCTACTTAAAGTTTCCTGTCTAGATGAAATACATTCTCCTATAATATTTAAGATTGCGTGTGATCCATCAGAGTGCATGTTTGATCAGTGGCCATACTCGCTCTGCCACTGCCGCCCGGCTTAAAGCACGGCTCTGCAGAGTCTGCAGGGGCAGTGAACGTGGGCTCACCCCGAGGCTGCTCGGTGCTCCTGCTCCTGGGCAAGGAGCAAACGGCCGGGGAGCTGCCTGGGGAGGGCACGAGGCACACTGCCGTGCATCCCCGCACCCACACCGAGCTGCTGGGACAGAGCTGCTGCCAGCATGGGGCCTGAAGGGACAGCAGCACGGAGCTGCTGCCCCATCTGCTTCCCCTCAGCGGGGTGCAGGAGGGCAGGCGTTGTCGGTGAGCCTTCGGACACGGCCACGGGATGGGGCAGTGGGCATCTGGCCGAGGCCCTGACTAACCAGAGCTTGTGAGGACAGCGCTTGTTGCCAGAGCCTGACACTGCCTCTTCAAGTTCTGGGACTACAGTAATAAATGGCAACCATGCGGATGATCTGCCTTCTATCTCTATCTCTGTGTTACCAAAGATACCAAATTTCCTCTCAAGCACTCAAAATACATTGTCTCGCATTTGCTTCCCAAATGAGCAACTACAGTAATTCTTCATCTACTCATCTCTGATTTAGCAGGGGTCATTGTATTTCCTACCAATTTGTTACTGAATTTTCACCCTGTGTCACCGAGAGAAATAGTTCTGATATTTTCTAATGGCGACTCATGTTGCACCTCATGAACTTTAACTAGTCCCAGGGTCATTTTCATTGACAAATTGCTGTAGGCTGCTCAAGTAATTATTTGTCCTTGGGAAGATGTATATCCTTTATTGAAGTTATCCTAAGAGTAAAACAATCTTAACTATTAAAACGTCTGCTCTAACATTGGAAGATTAAATGCTTATCCTTTTGACCAGCTCAGGCTAGTCCTTGAGAAGCAGAAATCTTGCAAGAAGTGCTAAAATCTACCGCATGAAAGGCTAGCTGCTAGAGAAGGCATACGACTAATCTGAAAACATAGAACCAACTCTGATACATTTCTGCTTTTTTTTTGTGATGTTTTAGGTCTGACGGCAATCACCAGGGATCTCACAACACTGGTGGCTCCCCGTGTCTCCGGGCTGGCTGCTGGTGGCAGTGTGCCCAGTGCTGCCAGGCCGCAGCACTCCCTCTGCTTTCTCTCTGGGGTTTGAAGGCAAAAAGGGGCCTCTGCGGCCGGCTGGGCTCTGTGGGAGGCAGAGCAGCTCCCATGAGCTGCCCCCAGCCTGGGGTGCTGGTGGGCATGCAAGGGGACTCCCTTTCACCGCTGTGCTCTCACATTTGTGTAGCTTCTTCGGCAACGTGCCCTGAATGATCCTTTCCACGAGGCCACTGAATAATCCAGGAGATAGGCAGGGGTACAGAGTGCGTACAGAGTTAGGGGAGCACCTTGAATCTGAAAGGTGTCAGCTGAGAGTCTGGTAAATTAAAGCAAGCCCTACTTCCATTGAAACCACAAGGGAAAGCTGCAGGGAATGGGCACAATGGGCTTTGCCCCTGAATTTGGTATGGAAGAAGCAGAGGGTGAGGAAGCTCTGCCCCTGCAGAGCCTGTTTACCACAGCTCCAGAGCCCAATGCTACAGCAAGCTCTGAGACCTGTGTGGGCTGGATCCTTCCTCCCTCCCTGCTGGGTCCACGCGATGTTCAAGGACCTGACATAAAAGAGAAACTCAGTTCCCACATTGCCCTCTCAGACACTTTTATATTGCTTGTCTCCTTAACCCAGAATTTGTGGCAGTGGTGGCGGCTGCTGCTGTGACAGATGCTGGAAGAGGCTGGCAATATTTTTGGTGCTAAAAACAGCACTTCTTTGTTGACAAACTGTTAAAAAAAAAGATTTACTGTTATGGGGCTGCTTCCCCTCAGGGTCATTTTCTGCAGGGAATGACTTTGGCTCTGTCAGCTAAGGACGTGGGAGCACAGCACCGGGGATGTGCAGATAGCAGCCCTGGGGAAGGGACGCTGATGTCCCGCGTTGCTGCACGAGTCACTACATCCATGAGCCCAAAGGTGTTTTGGGTGCTGGCATGGTTTCACAGCTCTGCTCCAGCCGCACGGCCCCAGCACCACCCTGTCCCCATGTCCCCAGCCTGCCCACCAAGGGGCGAGGGCTCCACGTTGGGCTTCCCAGCAGCAAGCGGTGACTTCTGCCACCGGGCTGCCTCACGTGCTCGTGATGACCTGCAGGTGGTTCATGTGCAGCCAGTGTAAACTTCAAAGCCAATGCAACTGTATGGGCATCAATCTGTGGACTCCTATTCCCTGCCCCCACCCCCAGATAGTCTCTCTCTTTTTTTTTTTTGTCTTCTTCCATCCCCTGTCCCCATCCCCCGGTTCATTGCTGGGAGAGCTTGCACTGAGCAGTTTGTGCTTTTCTTGCCGTGGGAATAAACAGTAGACAGTTGTCAATCTAGGACATTTCACCAACATTGAATCCAGTGCCTTTTTTTTTCTTCAAAGACACTTTGGGGATTTTAAATGATCTTTTTGACTGTTAACAGCAACCATGTAGCTGTGCATCTCCATTAGCGTCTTTGCAAATATTCATCTACAGTAAGTGCCTCCTGGCTCTATCGCATTCCTGATTTTTTTTTCTATTGACAGGAATCAATAGCAGCATATATGAGGAAACAGATAAATATATATCTAGCTAATGAGGGGTAAATGGCTCTTCAGAGCATGTTGGTCTCATAGATTCCAATTTGTCTCTGCCTTTTTCTATTTTTTGGCTAAATACTCTGCTATGCATGTTATCTCGCTCACCTTGAATGTCTGAAATCTCCAGTCTCTCTCCAACATGTTTTCAGCATTTTGCAATGTCAGATGTTGCTTCCAGCTGTAAGAGAAATTATCTTTTATATTTCTTTAAAGTAAAAGCAATTTAGAGCATTTACATCTGCAGAAACAGTAGCTCCTTGTGGAGTCCAACACCCAAGAGGTGCTTGTTTTTATACGCTATCGGACTATATCAAAGGCAGAATTGTAGAGTAGTTAATGATTGCCTTTTCATGTCAGTTTTTAAATTCTTATGTAGTGTCTTTATTATTCACACCAATCTGTCTTTT